GCTGAACAGGACGCAGCTGTTTCGACCGCTGATAAAGGTAGCTTTTTCGTTGCATTGCAGTTTCATTTTTATATGCAATATTGTGATCAGTATCGTGATTTTTATATGTTTTATTGTTAGTTTTATTGTTGTGTAGAGACATTGCCTTTGATATTTAATGGATTGTAACACAATGCATCCAACAGGCAATCAATCAAACAGCGTTTATGCTATAATATATTGAATAGAGCGTTAATGATGTCGTGTGTAAATAAATGAAAAAAACATAACATATCGATTGAAGTTCTTCATTTTGTATAGGGATTGAAAACTTTCAGCAGCAACAGCAGCAGAAGGGAGTGGTGTTCACGAAAGCGAGCATGGCAACGAAGTGGTCAGTAAACAAGTAAGCATAGCTGGGTTGTTTGTGGTGCTTGATTGGATTTCATTTATGGATGATCATTTTGATGAAGTTGAGAGTAATTGTTGCTATCGAAAGATTTAAAAGATGATTTCGTCTGGTTCGGATCATTTCGATGTTGTGATGGAGTGAATAATTTCAGAATTGTACAAGTAGTTCTGAGAAGACGGATGCTGACGTGCCGAAGAGTGCAACAGCAGCACAACAATCCACAAATGAAGTAACCATTCCAAAGACAGACGTTAGTGGCGGTGATAATAAGAAAGTAAGCGAGCCGGAGAATGAGCAAAACGAAGACAGCAATTGGAAGGCAGTTTTACCTCAGGTTTCAAGCATTTTCGTTGTGATTTCTTTTTTTCGCCGGATTTCGATTGTGTTGATCAATGTGAGTGGTGTATAATTTGATTCGACTAGCATTTCTTTGAGTATGCATACAATTCCGTTCAGTTTTTCCAACTTTAGGACTGGTTGCCAGTAATTGAGACGGATCGACGTCGTTTAACGTCGATGACTCGTCAACCGTGTTTGAGTGATGCATACCTGTGCAGTAGTTCAATTTCCCAGAAGAAGGTTTGAATATTTGTCGTTTGAGTATATGTTTATTGTTCAGTGACAATGAATTGAAATTCATTATCGCTGTGGTTAATAACAGTGTTATTTGATAACTTTTGTTTTATTATTATTATTATTATTATTATTATTATTATTATTAT